AAAAAAAAAAAAAAAAATCACACACAAGCTAAATGGTCTGTCCCTAAATTTGTCAGTCCCTATAATTTGTGGCCAGTTTGCAACATGCTTTTAATTCCCATGCCTCTGAACTTCAACCTGATATTCATAAAATATACTGGACTAAAAACCTAATAAATAGATACATGTACATGTTCCTTGAATGTATGAAGTACATGTATTAAGTATTGACTTAATTATTGATTGACTTTCTACTCTGGGAGTCAAGGGATTACATGTACTGTACATGCAAGTTTAAAATACATTTTATCTGAGTGATTATATTAAACAGACTTCTTGTGTTAACTTCAAATCTAAGTCTAATCCTGACTTTTTTTTCTTTGCAGGTAGTGGATGAATTGGAGGATCAAATGTGTGAAGGTGGAAATATTGTGGATTACCATGGTTGTGATTTTTTTCCAGAGAGATGGTTTGACATTGTATTTGTGCTTCGCACAAACAACACAACACTTTATGAAAGACTTGAACAGAAGTAAGTATAGTAAGTTAGTGAGGCTAGAACTGTGTTTGTGGTTTAAGTCTCAAGTTTGAGGCTACTGGCTTGTTAGGGTAGTGTTCATTTCTGGTTTCCAAAGTATAAAGTGGCTAAAGCTTTTTTCACTCCACCCTGAAATTGAATGAGATTATACATAAAGCCTGAAAAGGGCAACTCACAACATAAAATCTACTGGTACTCAATAAGTAAACCTGAGAGAAGAGAGGCACTGTATCTTGCCCAAGAACACAGCACAATGACCCTGGTGAGCTTGAACATGGACTTCTCCACCTAGCGTCAGCATACCAACCACTAGATCATCACACATCCCATAAGAGTAAGACATATTTAAAAGTCTCTGATAGTCTGATTTGTTGCTCTTTCCTTGAAACAAGCTACATTTGGAGTTCCACGGTCGCACTTTTTTCCACTGATGAAAGCTGTCCATACATGTACATCTGCTCTATTTTAATATATGTTTGTTAGTTTTATTATTTTTTTTAATGTTTTTTTTGTCATAATTTATAAACATATGAATTTGCAAACTATCAATGGGTAAGGCAAGGAAGCCCTAACCCAAGAATATGGACCAACATAAAGCATGCCTGTTGCTGTGTGTACAATGGAAATAGGCCTTAAATGTTACTAATATAACTGATGCTGTCATAGCTCTTGATATGGTTTTTCACAACTAATTGCCCCCTTGCCAAAATAAAAATTGTTTATAACATACACCACTGACAGACTGCTCCAAAATTTAAATACTTGTGAAGAATGGATGAGAGATAACTCTTTCTGACTTCAGGGAAATTGAATTTTTTACATTGTACATGTGCTAATTTCCGTTTGTCTCTTCTAGGGGTTACAGTGGAAAAAAGCTTACCGAAAATGTGGAGTGCGAAATATTTCAAACAATACTAGAAGAAGCAAGAGAAAGTTACAGAAAGGAAATAGTTCATGAACTGAAAAGTAATACTCCAGATGAAATGGAAACAAATTTGGATCAAATTGAACGATGGGTTCAACAGTGGA